ATTATCATGTTGGAAGGGCATCCTAAAGAAAATATTCCAGGGGAACCACCCCCTCCCTCTCTCTCTCTCTCCTGGGCTCTAATTAGAGAAGACAAGGAATATCGTGGCCCTGAGAGCAGCTGCTTTGGTTTGTCTCTCCTTAGGAAGAAGAAACATAGGCCTAGACAAAGCTATCCGACTACCAGGCCCAGGAGCACCAAGTTCCTCCCCATTACCGACCCTGAGGTTCCGTCTACACCCTGGGGATGTGGACATACACGGAATGAACCACAAGGCCTCTCCATCCATTTCTAAGCTGGAAGAACCCAGAAGGTCCACTTGGGTCCATCCCTGTTCACACAAGGATGGGCAGGAAGGCTGGAGAAGGCAATGGAATTCATACAGTTTGACCATTCTTAGTCCTGGGAGACCCAGAAATAGACCCCAAGCTTGGTCTGAAGAACTTTCATAGACTATTTCACAATTCTACCTCTGATCTAGGAACTGCGGGCTCCTCTAAGAGCAACCAAGGGTCAAGTCCCTGTCCCCTGAATCCAGCCAGCTCAAGAAAGAGCGTGAACTTTGTGACACTGGTCCAGGGCAGGGCTGTCCTTGCTGAACTTGAACTGTCTGTGTGGGACATCCACCATCTACACGAAGAATCATCTCAAGGTCCAGCCCTACATACCCAGTCATGGTCTCGATGGTAAAGATGCTATGAGTGACATCACTGACCACATCACTCACTGTGAGGACACCTCTCCAAGGGAAATGCCAGTTTGATGGTGAGGGAAGGTACCCTGCTATCCACAACCAGCTAGCTTCACCACACAGACAGTGAGGGGCCAGAGACCAGACATCTCTGGGGCTGACTGCAGGAGAGCCGAGGCCCACACTTGTGAGCCCACCTGACACGAGTGCTCAGGGTGTCAGTGGGCTGCTTTTGCTCTTTCCTGGCCCCACTTTGTCCCAAATCATACTGGCCTTTTTTTGTGTCATTTTAATTTTGCCTCTCTTGTTACAGATCTCCTTAGACTTTATGAGATGAGAGGTGGACCGGTGGGTGAATGGACAGACAGACAGAGGTAGTAACTAGATCCTCCGCCCCACCTACCCGTGACTGATGCTCAGAGCAAATGCCGACTAGCGTGCGCAGAGCTGCCAGCATCAGGTCGGTCTCTCCTGTGTCCAGCAGGCGCTGCAAGAGCTGAACCCCATTGCTCCGGAAGATCTTCTCAGCTCCAGCATCCTCTCGGGCCAGTACCACCAGGTTCTGAGAAGCCTGCATCATAAGAAGGGCATCATAATATGAACACCGCACACAGCACAGGGTGAGGCATGCAGACGCCCTGAGCTCTGGGTCTCACTGCTTCCTTTTAGCAGCTGAGTGACCCTGGCCATAAATTTAACCTCTTTGAACTTCAGTTTTCTCCTCTGTAAGTAGAGGGAGGAGCTTGCTCCCTCACTGACGGTTCGAGTAAATGGAGCTTTGAGTCCCTGGCAAAGACTGAAGGACAGAGACCGTGCCTCAGTCACCTCCACACACCCAGCTCCCAGCACAGGGCCTGGTCAATGAGGGGCTCAGTGAATACTGGTCCCCTCTCCTTGGCTCACACTCAGGACCCAGGCCCTCTGAGCTCCAGAGGTTCTGTGAGCCCAGCTGCACAATCTAAGAGCGACACACAGCAGACCAGGCCAGCAGGGACATCCGGGGCCAACAGCAGCACACAGGGAGGGGCGGGCAGCACTAGGGGAGCTCAGTCCCTACTCACTTGTTCCTATACCTTTTGCTTTTTCTCAGTTCCTTTTTCTTGTGGGTCCAGTAGTATCTGAAACATCTGTTCCACTTTGGCATCTGTTGAGGACATGTACCGCACCTACGACAAACCAACAAAGCATGGCAGGAATCATCTCTCTTGGCCAGGGACAACACATTCCCTCTTTGTCCTCTCTGGCTCCTCCCAGCGCCTGGCTCCTGTCTCTGAGAGGCACAGCAAGGATGTCTGGGCTTAGGGCTCGCACTAAGCTACCTTGGGCAGGAAGAGACTCGCCTGGCAGCTTCTCCTGTACTTACCTGGCTGTTTTCTTCTCTGAGCCATTTCCCGCTTGGGCAGCACCCATGCTGAAGGCAGTGCCATTCAGAAGGGTTGGCGTCCTATTAGCCAAGAGGCAACCCACTCCTGGGGGGCCATGTATGTAGTGGCAGCCTGGCTACACCGCCCGTGGCACTGAATTCACACTTAAACCTCCTGCAAGGGAGCCAGCAGGTCACGAGGTAGTTGCTAACACTCCCTTTAGGTTGAGGATTTTCTTTTTGATAGATTTTTTGGGTTTGGTTTTGTTTTGTTTTAAAAATAATCTGAACAATGAAGCTCATCCCTTAACAAGGCCCTCTCCCTTCCCAGGGTTCCTGGGCGTGGATAGTAGCACGTGCCTAGCATGTGTGCCGCTCCCCTCTCCCCTCCGGCATCTGTGGCAGAGCATGAGTGATCAGTCACAACACAAGCCCAGGCAACCTACTTCCCAACCCTTCTCAACACAGGGCTCTATGCAGCCCCTGCCGATCAAAAGGTAGCTCTCAACCTTTTGATAAGGTGTTTGCCATCATATTACTTGCTTCCACTGTGTCAGCATTTTAACACCAAATTATCTGACTGATTCAAGCTTGATTATAGTTCATAATGACCTTTAGATTCTTTTCTCCTAAATTAACTTTTAATATATGTACCACACAATGTCTCTTTACTTAAAAAAAAAAGGAACAGATCAAGCAAAATCTCTTCCAAAAAAATTTACATATCCAAGTGTACCCATGGGAAAAAACATGGTATTATTTTGGGTGCATATGTGGGGGATCACGTTAACATAAATGGTATCATGTTATGTGTGTTACGGTATATTTTGCTTTTTTTCCACTTAAGTGTCAGCTTTCCACACTCACACATGTGGATCTGCCTTGTCTTGGTAACTACAACACAGGAGCCTATAGTAAGGACATCACTAGGTTTATTTAGCCACTCCCCTGGGCATTTAGGCAGTTCCAATTTTTCATTACTACAAGCAAGGCTGAAACAACCATACACACATCTGCTAGCGTGCATGGGCAACGCTTCTCTAGGAGAGAGAGCAAGAAGTAAACATACTGAATGACAGTATATGCTCACTTAAGACATATGGTAAAGGACATTTCCAAGGAGCTGTACCAATTGATAACCCCTCCAGCAGTCATGAATGAGCCCATGTCCCTCCTAACCTCACCACTTAAGTGTCTATCTCCCTTCTTCTAGCGATGTGTACAAACTTTAAATGTTTGTCAAACAGACCACCAAAAAAATCAGCACCCTGCTGTTATTTTAATTGTTTTTTCTTAACTACTGGCAAGGCTGAGCGCCATTCTACAAGATGATTTGCCATCAGTATCTCCTCTCCAGAGAACTATGTTTATACCTTTGACCCAGATCCATTTACCAGTGCCCCTCTACAACTGGTCAATGCCTTGCTCTCTCTGTTACTCTCATACCTTCTCCTGAATCTGGCCCCCGATGCTCCGCAGGGCCTCCTGGAAAACTTTGTTCTTGGGCTCCAGACTCACACATCTCTGCAGGTCAAGGACAGCCTGGTCGAGGCGGCCCAGCTTCTCTAGGGCTTGGCTCCGCCGGTAAAGTGCTTTCACATCCCCACCATCCTTTTCAATGGCTGAGCACAAACGGGAGCTCTGTCAGCACCCATGAGGCCACCGTCTCCAGGCAAGAGCAGTAGGGAAAGATCTCGAGGGCCACAGAGGAAGGTGGGGGGACGGATGTGGGGCTCAGAACTTCAGCCTCAGAAAAGGTGAGGGTAGCTGCAGAAAAGGAAATGCCCGGGGAAGTGGGAAAGAAAGAAGGCAGCCGTGTTTCAAGGGTGTAAGGAGAAGAAAGTGAAGGCGCAATGGTCCCAGAATCCCTGCCCCATCACAGAAGCCTCACAGCTCCACAAAGGGGCCCACATTCCCATACCTTTGGATGCCTCCGTTTCTGCCTTATCGTAATCTTCCTGTAAGAGAAAAACACGGGCCTTAGAGGCTGGTCATCTCCTTTTTGGGGAATAACTGGGCAAAAGAGTTGTTCTCCTGAGTCACCAGATCTCCTGCCAGCTAGAGGCCCAAAAGGCACGAGACAAGTGTGGGTGGCCAGGGAAGGTGAATGTGCAGTGGGGGCCCAAGCAACAGCGAGATGGGCAAACAGGGGCCTGGGCAGGCCAGAGGAAGAGTAGCCGGCTCCCTCACCAGCTTCAGGTGGCAGGCGGCCCGGTTCCGGTGCAGAATGGCCTGGTCCTGGGGCGCTTGCGCCCAGACCCAGGGCCTGGGTGTAGGCCGTCAAGGCGCCTTCGTAGTCCCCGCATTTGAACAGATCGTTGCCATCTTTCCGCAGCTGCTCTACTGAGCTGGCCTGTGGAAGAAAGGGGTGGAAACGTCGGAGGTGGACTCAAGAGTGAGCCGGGGAGCTAAGGGGAGAGGAGGCTGGGGGTCGGGAGCGAGTCCCACGGAGGGCCAAGACTGAGGGGGTAGGAGGCTAGGGAATGGTCAGAGCAGGAGCGACGTGGTGATGGCGCGGGCGATGTGTACGCACCCCGCGGCCAGCGGGCCGGGGCTGGGGGTCCCT